CCCCCCCCCCCCCCCCCCGACCTCAGGGAACCCCACAGGCAATGAGGGGCAAAGCTGAGTGCTGGGTGGGCTAGTCACCCATGGATGCAGCAAAGCCAATTTTCCAAGGGTGTTATACTGGGCTGCTGATGAGATGCAGCCAAATAATCAGCCTAGATAACAATGCCCTTTGTGTACCGACAGAACAGCATGGCTGACATCTCCTCACACCACTCCCACCAGCTGATGAGGAAGGGTCCACTGTACTCTGGAGTCCACTCACCCATAAGAGGGCTGACCAGCTTAAGCGAAAGGGGAACTGATGGTAAGACTGTTCTGCCATTAACAAAGCCAAGTCTCAGGTGTTGGTTTTACACAGATGTTTGTTTTAAACAGCCATCAAATCAGAATGATTTTCAGGAACAGCTGGATTTAAATTGCTGAGTTGGAGGGTGAAAGCCCTGTATCCAGTTTCCAATCATTTTGGCTACCTGACATCCTAGTACAGAATAAAACAGTTACTCGTTGTCAGTCACAGCATGGCTTTCATTAGTTGAGAGCACGTGAATGTTCAGGGGTCTGGCAAGTGGCTTGTTATGCTGCCCATGCTGGGAGCAGAATTCTACTTCTTGTGAGACAGCAATGCAAGTGCAGCTAGCGCTGCTCTGCTCCCAGTGTGTACAGGCTTTATTCTAACTCAAAAGTCATTTTGGGAATTAAAGTGATACTACCTAGGGGAGAAAAAGCAAACTTAAAACCTCATCTTCATGCCCGGGCACAGGGCCCCAGGCCCAGTCACCATCAGCACACATGCTTTAGCATACCTGGGGGTTGGCAAGGTGATGGTTCATAGCCAGCACAATGAGATCTGTTCCTCCAGCACTGATGATGGCATCTTTCACATCGTCGTTGCCTGCGATGGCCCGGACTGCGCTCAGCACCTGTTTCACCAGCTCCTGCATCCAACAAGAACAAAGTACAGCCCAGGGAGGAATGCATACTACATGCCCCTTCTGCAGGATCACAGCTACACAAGTGGATCACAGCTATGCAACCTGAATGGCAACACCCCTGAGAAATTCTGCACCCCTGCCTGGAGGATGCAACTGCCTGATGAGCCACGTTGTGTTCAGAACTCCCACCCCTCACAGGTGAGAAGCAGTTTTCGTGTAGCTTTGGAAAGGAGATCCAAATTGCCCTGCTTACAATGGCAGAGGCTTTCAAAGATGTCCAGAGGAATTGAGCACCCAAATCCCATTCAAATTACGTGGGACTCAGATAGCTGCTATAAAGAAGAGACCTCTGGTTCCTCTAGGAATAAGGCAGCTTATTTGCACATTTGGGAGGGTATCTGAGCTCCCTGCTTGACTAAAGCAGCACATGCAACCTCATGCTAGGTAACAGTGTCTGTGACAGGTACCAGGATAATCACCAATAACATGAGGGTCAGACCTCACTGGTGACCAGCATGCCTAATGTTTGCTCACATCTGGAAAATACTGTGAAGCAGGAAAAATACTACATGAATGTAATGCTGCATAGCCACCATCCCCAGGGTGCTCTGAGACAGGCAGCTCCTGCACCAGAGAGGGACCATACCTTTTGGTCAATGCAGTCAGCCAGCAGAGACACCATGAAATTCAAGCCTCCGAGGTCCACAATCTCTTGACAAAACTCATTCCGGACAGAAAGACGCGAGAGGGTTGCACACAGCTCAGTGAGAACACTGGAGTCCCCTGGGAATGCTGCAGAGGGAGAGAGATAAGCCAGGGAAATAAACGGGGCAAAAGACAGGGTTGGCCAGGGAGTATCACATGCCTTTTAGAAAAAGAATCAAGCAGGATTCTTCAGTGGGTTTCAGTCCAGATGTGAAGGGGCAAGCGCTTGCATTCCAGGGTTCCCCACGCCCCAACACTGGCTGGCACCCACCTCTAGAGACACTGTGGGTTGAATGAGCCATGGAGCCTGAATGCACCTTTTACTCAATGAAGGCCAAGCCTGAGACATGTTGTCTGAACCAACGCGCAGGATAAACCTGAACAACCATCTTGAGGTTAACTGCTGCTCTCCAACCAGGCAAGCCGCCAGCTCTGGAAACAGACATCCCAGAGAGGTGACAAGGTTTGCTGAAAGTCTTGCATGGTCACCAGGGAACAGAAGCTAGGACTCCTGATTTAGTCCCCTGCTGTGCCAATTACCCCAGCACAAAACAGGAACATCTGGAATTATGCAGCACATTCTTGAGCTAAGGGAGCAAGGAAGAGCTGAAAAGGGTTGGCAGCAGAGGAATTAATCCTACCTTTGGCAGCCTCTATGAGGATCTTTAAGCCATCGTTCTCTGCCACAATCATCCTGGCATGATCATGGGCATGGCCAAAGGGCACACGGATGTCATCATCAAAGGTCATGATCCGGAGCGCCGAACAAGCCTCTCGCACCAGGCTGGCATGGTTACCATGCTGGACAATAGCACTGGTCAGCAGTGGCAAGAGGCCACCTTTCACCAGGTCCTGGCGGTTCTGCTCATGTTTCAGACAGGCATGCCGGACGCATCGAATTCCCGCAAGCATCATTTCAACGTCATCTGCTTTTTCCTTCAGGGTTTGCAGCAGCATCTTCTGGCCAACAGAGTCAAGCAGGTCAGGCTGCCCCTCCATGAGGGCAGACAGAGCCTGGAGGGCCTGGAGCATAGTGCTTTCATCTCCTGAAGCAAGCCTACAGGCAGAGAGCACCACAGGATAGGCACCTTTCTGCCCAGCCAGGTAGCGAGAAGCCAGCTGCATTTTGCACTGCTTGCTCAAGCTTGCTAGGTGCTCACCAGCTACACTGAGTTCAGAGTCAGCGATGGATTTCCTGAGCCAATCCAATGTCTAAAGGAAGAGAATAATGGTTACTGTCCTCCCAGATCACATGGGAAAAATGACCCACTGCACAATCAGATTTGCTCCTTTCCAATTATCTTCTCCCTCCCCTTTTAAATTCAAAATGAATCTGGCACCAAGGAACACCAGCCAGCCAGCCATGGAGAGTGATGTTCTGTCTTTGTGCACAGAACAGAGTCAGAGGCAGAACAGGCTTCCCTGCCAACATGTCCCACTCAACCCTCTGTCCCTGTGGAAGCACCTGATCTGAAGATGGCTTTTGTGTCATGGACCAGCACACGCATTAGACTCAGACTGAGGCATGTGTCAACTGATACTCTCTGCTAACCTGGGCTGGACTGGGAGGGAGGAGTGGAGACGAAAGGCTCCATAGCATGTCACCAATCCTCACAACAGCCACCGACCACAGTGGCAGAGCTCACTGAAGCAGGCTGCCCCTTCTTTGCAGCCAGAGAAGAGGCTGCTCAGAGGCTATTCATAGCACTCCCTGCTGCTGCCAGCCAGGATGTAGTACTCTGCACTTATGTTGCCCCCCCACTTTGAGTTGCTCCAGGAGCTGACTCAGCACAGGCACCCCCTCATTTGGCAGGTAAGGAAGCTAGAAGTGCAGGGGGATAAGTCTGTTCCTGGGAGGCATCAGCAGAACTGGAAGGGGAGGCAAACCTGCTGATTCCTGACACAATATTCAAAGCACTGAATCATGCTGCTGACCCTGGGGGGCAACACTCACTTCATTTTTTCCTACCTGCAAAATCTCGTGCTTTTGCCCCTCACCGTTTTCAGAGGCAGGTCTCGGTGCAGCTTTTACAATGGTACTCAGATCAACACCTAAAAGGGAAGAGTGAAACAAGGTGGCTTTAGATGCATTAACTCTTGGCTGCACTGGGGAACAGCATAAGGCAACCCTCAGCAAAACATGGAGACAGACTAAAACAGAGCACAGATCAATGACTTAGGATGTCCCCCTACCCTCTGGAAGGGAGAGGAAGCCAAGAGAGTACCTTTGTTAAGAACCTGGTCACCTCTGGCTAAGTCTAACCTGAGGAAAGTTCGTGCTGCCTCTCTAAATCCCCCTTTGAAATGCCAATTAAAGAAGGTATTTCTATCCTGGCCCCTCTGTAAAACCCTGATGTTTATTGTAAATCAGTGATGCTGAAGGTACAGCCCATGGGACCTGGCCCCACACTCTGGATCCAGCCCATGGACTGGCTGCACCCCACTTATTCAGCCTCCATGTCAGAAAGGCTGAGAACCATTGTTGGAACAGATTCTGCATATCAATACAGGCCTTTGATCTACAAGCCAATTCCTCTGAAGAGCTCTGGGATCTTTCATACTGAAAGGAAATGACAAAGGACAGAAAAATGCTGTCCATTTTTGTCAGTCAGTCTCCAGCCAGAAGAACAGCTAAATACACATCCAGGGATTCTAACACCTCCAACTGGCCTCTGCTGAGAAGTAAGCTGACATGTCTGAAGGGTACCCAAAAGCTCAGCACAGATCCCCAGTTTGCAACATGACTAAACCATTCAAACAAATCTGTCTTACCCAACAGCTGCAGAGCAAAATTCATTTGCAGTACCTTGAGATTCAAACTGCTCCACAGCTTCTCTCACAGCTTCTTCTGGATCCATGTCAAATTCTGTGATGTTTTCTTGCACCACTTCATCAAATGTTTCCTGTGTAACTCGTTTGGAGGCCATTTTTATTGTTAAAAGAGGGCTGAACAACTTCCTGACCTGCCATTGGGAAAGACCAAAATTAGATTTGTTCCAAAATAATCTAAAACTTTGAGAACTAACAAGAAACCAGGTAACCAGCTGTTTGCCAGAATGAAAGCCCAGAACATGAACATGGCTAAAGAAAAAAGAGTAGAAACTATCCCCCACAGATGAGTCACCAAGTTACAAAAGCTCTGTCATCTCTCGCTGTTGAAGAATAATAGTTGTCACACCAATAAATGAAGCAAACGCAAAGCTGTTTTTAGGTCAGCGCTGCTCCATTTAAAGCACAGAACTTACAGAAACCAAGGCAAGAGAAGTGACTTAATCAATGCAAGACAGTTTCTGTATGCAGTGCCTGAAATTTAGAATCCAAGGGTCTGTCTATCTGTCTCTTTTAAGGATTCCAAGATCATCTCTGTAGCTTGCCACCTCATCAACTATATTTACTTCTAAATGTCATTCAGGGATTGAACCAGAGTCCAGCAAAAAAAAAGCACAGTAGAGAGCACTCCATTTAAGCGGACAGCATCAGGACTGGAAAAGGATAAGCACTTAGTCCAAGCATGCACTAACAAATTCAATATAAACAACGTTCATTAAATACAAGGCTCCTTAGCTTGTTTCTCAGCGTGCCTTATACCTCTAATAGCAGCCTTGAATTCCACAGGACCCAATCAGTTCAGCTGCTTAAGAAGCCATGAAATCGATGCTCCAAGTCAGCATCCCCCATTATGCACATTATGTAGGATTAGGTAAGAGAAAAGAGCAGAGCCTTTCTAAACTGGAGGCACCCTCATTGAGATACAAGGCACCCTTAGTTAAATGTGAGACCCACCTTGGAAAATTCCAAGCTTTTAGTTTTCACTCTTTTTTTGATTATGGCAAAATAATGGAGTAGAATTTCTGTTGCAAAGAACTCAGGAAGCAGAAGACTTTTAACGCTCCGGATTGCTCTCTGGGTTCATCTTACGAGAAGGCAGAGTAGAGGTGCAGCTTTACAGCCTAGCTAAATAATACATGCACAGAGGTGACAAGCTGTCACGAACCCACGTCTGCTTCATCAGAGGCTGAAGCAAACCCAGGTTCACGAAAGCTCGTGCTGTCTCTGTCGATCTTATTTAGCGAGTCTATAAGGGGGTGTCTCTGCCCTGGCTGGTGACTGACTGCATACTCAGGGCTCACCACCTCTCTCTTCCAGGTGAATCACGTTTGCAGCACCCGGCGGGGTAGAGAAGGGGTGCCGAGAGCCCCTGCCCCAGAGCGGCCTGCGCTTTAGGGTCGTTGGTCGTAGCTGCGTTGGTTTAAGGACACAGGCAGACAAGGTACTTCGAGTAGATGTGAGATCTTTTATTAGACCAGCTACATTGTTGGAAAAATTGTTCTTTGCAAGCTTTCGGGCACAAAAAAAGATGGGTATTTGAGCCCGAAAGCTTGCAAAGAACAGTTCTCCCAACAATTTAGTTGATCTAATCAAAGATCTCACATCTACGCAAAGAAGTGTGTCTGGAGCAGTCTACGTGCTTAGTCAGCGCCGTGTGCTTTGGGGACACGAGCAGAGGAAGTGGAACACATTACATACATCACACAACTCACCACGAATCGCGTGATAAATGTAACACTGGCCACACGTGCAGGGTAACTATCACGCCAGAAATACGCCCGCCCAGGTATAAAAAGAGCCAAGCAGCTGGGCCCAGGCGCAAACGTGGGCAGCTCCAGCCGGGATGGGCAGGGAGGTGACAGCCCGCGGCCCCCGGCGCGGCCGCTCCCCGCCTGACCTTTGTCCTTCACGCCTCGCCGTAGCTGCGGACGTTCCGTCCCAGGCGACAAGGAGCGAGAGGCGCTGCGAAAAGGCGGTGGCTGCAGACAGGATGACCCCCCTCGGCCGCCATACGCGCTCCCCAGGCGCCTAGTGTGCTTACGCATTAGCCGGCCCCGCGTGAGAGAGGTCGCGGGCGCTCAGGCACAGCACGAAAAAGAGCTCAGGGAGCGGTGTAGGCGCTTGCGCACAGACCACGCATGCGCACTGTAAAGCTAGTTGTACCCCGTGCGCAGGCGCCACCTGAGCGATTCTCTCTGGAGAGTCTGGGGACGCCTTGTGGCGCTCCCAGGACCTAGGGTGGCCGCTGCGCATGCGCCGTGGTTGGCGTTGCGCGAGGGGTTGTGGGAGCTTCCGGCGTGCCTGAGAAGCGGCGGGTGTGGGGCTGGGGGACTTCCGGCCCGGCTGAGGTGAGGGCCGAGCGGGCAGGGAGGGCCTGTAGTGGCGGCGAGGCTGGCGGCAGGGGAGAGAAAGAGAGTTGGGGCCCAGCCTGGAGACACCGGGGGCGGCCTGGGGCCCCTAGGGGAGACGGGTACCATCGTTATCCTCATCTTCATCCCCTCCCCTCCCTCTGCACCTCGTGGGGAGCCACCTCAGCCCACCCCCCAGAGACAAGGACTGGGGAGGGGGAGAGCAGCAGGTGCGGTGGAACGAAGGGTGCTTGTGTCTTCCCTGGAGGCCAAAAGTGACATTTCCCTGTAGTGTCAGCCGCATGCTGGGGCTCGCTGCGTGGCCACCTGGCAACTAGACTCTTGTGTCACACAGGGAAAACACTCTGGGAAGGTTGCTCTGCCCCTCGTTCGACTCTAAACTGAAAGCTGTACCCCTAACAGAGACCCCTCTGGTGCGAGAGCATGCATGTCACCGTAAACACCCCCTCAGTCGGCGGAGGCCGTTCATGCCCGCTCATAAGGATCAAATCTAGCGGCAGCTCTAAAATGCATTCAGGTCTGTGAAATGCAACTGTGCCCCTCTCACTGCAGGGTATAAATGGCCTCCAGAAGAATCACGCGGGAAGCTTTTGACGCTGTGGTGCAAGATAAAGTTAAAAGGTATCGGATGGACCGAAGCGATGCTATGGAGGAAACAGTCCATCGGTTTAAAGGTAATGTCACGAGCAAGCCCTGAGCGTGACTTGCCACTGGGTTATGCGGAAAACATAGGGTTGAATTTTTCGATAGTTGTGCATCTAAAAATGTGCTACTACGTGCTTCCTTCAGCGTAGTTTTACTCTTTGTTCCTTTGTCGGAAAGAACAGGCATATGCTACGAGTGACAGCATCGCAAACAGCTTGTATCTGTTCAGCGACAATCCTCAGTGTTTTCAAAGCTTTTCTAAAGTATTTTGATAAACAGTTGGAGACAATTTTTACATTTCTCAGAATTAGATGTAGATGCTAATTCTCAATGTTGTGGAGTACAGGCTGCTCAGGTGTCTAAATGCGTGAATTTGAATTTTTCTAGTCGTATCCATGTGTTGCAAGTAACATTAATTTCTTCTGTCCATCCTGTCCCTCGTAGCTCATTCAAGACCTATCCCAAGACCCAGGTATGAAGACAGTTTCCATGACGACGGCAGATATTCACATGATGGTCCCCAACATCTTCCTCATGACGACTGGAGAGAAGATCCTAGGGAGGATTATCCAGGGCCTTCCTATAGATCTAATAGTCCTCTCATGAGGAAAGATGACTACTACCATGACCACTATGTCCGCCCAGCCTCTCGGGACCGGGACTATGTCCGCCCAGCCTCTCGGGACCGGGACTATGACCATCCACATCCTTGGGAATCCTCAAGGCCCCATGATGCTGATTTTGGCCCTTCCGACCTCTTGGGTGATTTTAGATCTCCAGGACTCATGGAGGAGGAGTATGGGAACATGGAAAGTGAGGAATATGACCTGGAATATGGGCTTCAGTCTGAGGGTGAGTTCGGACCTCCAGTACGGAGAGGCAGCATTGGCAGAGGAAGGGTTCTGCGAGGAAAACATATTACAAGAGGCACTATTAAAACTAAAGTATTTAAAGGAGATGTCATAGCTCCTCTAAAGAAATGGAACACTAAAAAACCATCGCCAGTAACTGATCAAAAGTCAACTCTAGAACCTGATCAGATGCCAGAATCTACAGAACGACCTAACCAGAGGACAGCAGCTGCTCAGCAACCAACTCCACGACCTAATCAGAGGCTAGCTGTGTCAGCCCAGAGGCCTGTTCTCCGGCTTACTAAGCCTGCGCATGTTTTCAGAGAACTGAACTTTGACCTTGTGGACAAATCTGACATTTTTTCAACATTTGGAATAGAAATAATTAAATGGGCTGGATTTCACACAATAAAACATGATGCAGAATTCTCACGGCTCTTTAGAGCCCTCTTTAGGCTGGAGACAGAAACGTGTGCAAAAATGCTTGCTTCTTTCAAGTGCCCGCTAAAGCCAGAACACAGGGATTACTGTTTCTTCACAATCAAGGGTTTACAACACACTGCACTGAAGACACCCAAAGTAGACAATGAGTTCTTAAACATGCTGTTGGACAAAGGTGCTGTGAAGACAAAGAACTGCTTCTTTGAAATAATAAAACCTTTCGATAAATATGTGATGAGACTCCAAGATCGTCTTCTAAAGTGCGTCACACCTCTGCTTATGGCCTGCAATGCCTATGAGCTAAGCATAAAGACAAGTGGTTTCAGTAATCTCACAGAAATGGCAAATGCTTTTGAGACCACCATTTCTCTGTGTCGTAAGTCTCTAGCACTTCTGGGCCAAACTTTTGCATTAGCTTCTGTTTTCAGGCAAGAGAAAATACTCGAGGCTGTTGGTCTCCAGGAGATGGCTCCAGCACCAACTTCATTTCCAAATTTTGATGATTCAACATTGTTTGGAAGAGAGTACATAGAGAACTTGAAAGCTTGGCTTGAGAAAAGTGGGTATCCACTTCAGATGAAGAAAATAGAACCAGAATCCACTATACAGCTTAAGGCAACTTCTCCTGACACAAAGGCTAAAAGTAAGAGCAAGTAAAAGTGTCACAAAATGTATGACAAAAGTAGGATGGTAGAGTCAAAGGCAGATACAGTAGCTGAATTTACTTCCAACTTTTTTTTAAATTTGACCAGTGTTACATTTTATTTGAAATGAGATCTAACCATCAGTGCTTGCAATATCCTAGTACATACTTCTTGCCAATTTATTATTTAACCTTTTTATGGTTTTTCATCCAATTTTCAGATTAATTCCTGTTAATACCAACTTGAAATAATTTTACGATTCTGACATTTTTGGAGTTACACATTAAAATTTGAAACCAAAAATTTAATTCCTAGGATAACAGGTCATTTATATATAGATATAGAGATATCTGTATCTATATACTGTTACTTATTACAATTTACCTTGTGATGTCTCTCCTTCCATTTCTTCCATTGTTTGACTAGGAATTGAAATTAGATTCACCAGCTTGTAATTGCCAAATTGTAAATACAAATTCATTGTAACATAACAGCTGTACTTCCAACCCTCCACCATTTTAATTATTTCCCCTTGTTACAACACTGTTATAACAGCATAGCAATTTAAAAGTAGCTGGCTTATTCTTGAAAAATTGTTATAAACTTGACTAGATATCTTGCCATTCTACTGATGATGATGATGATAATACTATGACCATGCTTTATTTTTGTTACAGTCCCTCAGCGTGCTGATCGGAGAGTTGTAGAGACAATTGAGAAGCTAGTGAACAGCATTGTTTCGGGTACTTTGTCTGCAAAAGAAAAAAATGCTCAAAAGGGCTCCCCTGACTATTGGTAGGTGTTCTGGTGAAGTTCATCCTAAATATGGTGTAAAACTACTTTGCTTCTCTTTTATGTTTGATCCTACTCTATTAAAGTGAACGGGAGCTTTAACTTTGACTTTGTTGGGTGCAGGATTAAATCTGTAATGTATTTCATCTCAATATCTGACAGCATTTACAAATGGTAATTGAGCCCCTTGACATACCTGGAAAGTAAGTGGTATCTTCCCTGAAGTTCTGATTTTTTAGTCCTCTACTCTCTAGTAGACTAGACTTTGGATCTGTCAATCCAAAAACAAATAGCAAAAAAACATTTTGGTACAAATCCATGAGAAATGCAGCTTTAACAGATGTACTTGTGAATAATGTGTTTAATTCTTTACAGGCTGAGACACTTGATTTCAAGTATTGTGTAGTCTTAATATTTTTTCAAGTACAATTCATTTTGTACTGATGGTGATTTTTTTTTGTGTGAAATTTAAATTGTAGGTTACATTAAACTGAAAATGAAAAGTTACATAATGGTCTGTGAAAGCCTGCTGCTGGGTGCAATGCTGTTATCTGACACTGATTTAATTTGGTTGGCTTTTCACATGAATCGTTTATTTCAAAAAGAAAAAAGACCTCCCTTTCTTCTGAGTATCCTGTACTGACCTTTCTTGGGGCAGATCCCTTTGTCCACACTCAGCCTCATGGCTCCAGGAAGGGACAGGTATCTGCCTACATAAAGTTTCTAGCAAGCTTGTGATTTAATTTACAGCAGGTTTGTAAAGACCTGAATTTAACCCTGATTTCAGTTTCAGGCAGGCAAAAATAATGTTCAGGAATTACTCCAACCAAGTCATTTTTAACATTGGCAGTTTGTAGGACGTGTTTATATATGACTTCTGTCTTTACAGAAGTAATAAGTTAGGATTACTATAATTGAAAAGGTAAGCACCAAATTATGTGGACAATAATTGGTCCCCAGTTATTGAATGTACCCAAACACCTTGTTAATTTTAAGCATATGAATAGTCTTATTATCAGTGCAGTACCTGTCATATGCTAAAGCACCTTTCTAAATGAGGGCCTTAGTGTGTAGTCAGTTTTATTAGCTGTTGTCCTGTACAAATAGTAAGTTTTCTCTTCTTGCTGAAAAGAAGAGTGATATTTGGGTGGTAATTGGGACACAATACAGGTCACTTATTTTCCTAAGCAAAATTGTTTCAAATTAGACCACTTAAAATGCAAAGTGACAGCGTCTCTTTGAATTGCAGTATAGCTGAATGATTGCTTGCTACTCCTGTTATATGAAAGCTGTTTAAGCTTTATTAGTGTGGCATAACTTGGTTTTGTCTACTTAAGAAATTGAACTACCTCTTGTTCTAAGAAAGGCTCATACCTTCAGGCTTGGTTAGGGTATGTGTTTCTCAATTTTATGGTCAGTTACCATGAGAAATCTAATGTGAGACATTAAAAGTACTAGTGTTGCTTTTGGCATATGATTTTGTTACATGTGCATTCATTTTTCTTTTCTGATGTAGGTTCTTGTCTGAAGAAAATAGTCTAGAATACAAATATTACAGACTGAAGTTATCAGAGATGCAGCGGTTGACTTCATCTACAAAGGGGGGAGATGGAGAGGGGAGAACACCAGAAGAATGTGCAACGGAATCAGTGAGGGCCATGTTGTATGCAAAGAAAGTAGCAAGTATTAAGAAAAGACTCTTTAAAAGGAAAAGACCTGGCATTATTGCACGGCGTGGAGTTCGAGGCAGGAAAGTGAGAAAAACAACCATAGGGACGCAGACCGTGCTGTCAGCTGGTACGATGCTAAAACGTCAAGACAAACATACCCAAGGCTCCATTCAGACAAAGCCTTCTGTATCGGAAACCAGCCTTTCTGAGAGAGACTCATCCTTGGATGCAGCTGAATCTTCACGGTGTGCCACCACGCCAGAAGTTTCACTGCCACTGGGAGCAGTCGGTGACACTGAGAATTTATCAGCCTCACCTGGACATTCCCAGATACTGTTGTCTCAGTTCCCTGATGGTAGGTGAATATTTAAGATTAGTTCATAGATGCTAACTTACTATGAAGAAGGCTTGTATTCAGACATCAAAAAATGTTCTACCTGGAATTTTTATTTTAAGTCTTGGCATTGACATAAAGCCTAGAGTCCTCAGCCATGTTGGGGCCATATTGTTTTAGGCATTGTACAAGTATATAGAAAATGATCTTTTTGTCACTTGCAGTGGATGCTAGAACAATGGAAACTGCTGAGAAGTTTGCCAAGTTCGTTGCTCAGGTGGGACCAGAAATTGAGCAGTTCAGTATAGATAACAGTGCGGATAACCCAGATCTTTGGTGAGTAACATGGATCACCATATATGCAAATGTAGGTGTAAAGATGCCTCATAAGAGAAATTACAGTGCAAATCTTTCCCCGTAGAATTAGACCACCAAAGAGACTTTTGTTTATTGTTAGCATTAAGTTACACAGCTCTGCTGAATATAATTGTTTCATGGTTGATGTTGCATATAAGTATGTCTAGGATTTCAGGATTTGGGCTTTAGGACCAGACCAGATAACTGATCCATCTTGTTGGTTTTGATACTGATGTTCATGGTGAATATATGAAGCTTTGGAGCAGGATAAAATCACTGCACAATTGTCTAGTCAATGAAGGTGCAATTTTGTTTCACACCTGTAAATGCTCAGTTTGCATCTGAAGCAGTGTAAATTTCACCTGCTAAATAATTTCAACTGCAAGTGGTCTGGGCAAACCTTGGGCAAGTTGCTGCTTTTCTCTTTGCCATCATTTCCCCATCTGTTTAAAAAAAAAAAAAAAAAAAAAAAAAAAAAAAAAAAAAAAAAAAAAAAAAAAAAAGACTGGCTCCTTTTGTAAAGCATGTTGTGATTTATTGGTATAAAATACTGTATAAGCATTCAAGATTGTAATGTTACCTGGTAGGTAGAGGATTCCCACAGTATTTCATAGTAGTTTAAAAATACCACTTGAATGAGAATGTTAACACTTTTAAGTAATGCTTTTTAATATCTAATTTTATGTTAGTTTAAGGGAAGTCCCTGTTGGTTTTTTTAAATTACATTAAAAGTATTTAAATCTTTGTTCAGGTTCCTACAGGATCAAAACAGTTCTGCTTTCAGATTTTACCGAATGAAAGTCTATGAATTATGCCCATCTATCAACTTCAGTGCTGTATCAGAAACAACTGTACCTGGGGGAAGTGCTAAACCTGGAGGAAAAAATCTGGATCATTCAGAAGAGGAGGAGGAAGAGGAAGAAGATAATGAGGAAGAAGAGGAAGAAGCTGAACTCGAAGAGATCTCCCAACCATTGGAAAAAACTGGAGTGGAAATGGAGCGAACAGGAGAGGGAGAAGAAAACATCTCAGCAGCTGGGACTGAAGAGATCCCACCTGAAGAGTTACTTTCCAAAACAGGAGAAGTACCTCCAACGGGGGAAATGCAGCCAGCCTCAACTTCTGATAGCACTGCGTCAAATCTGTCAGCACAGACACCAGTTCCTACTCCTGGTACCCCGTTTCCTCGCAAAAGAATTAGCAGCAAGTCTCTGAAAGTTGGCATGATTCCTGCATCTAAAAGAGTGTGCCTCATTGAGGAACCAAAGGGTAAGTACCTCTTCAAGGCTGTGTTGTGCCTCCTGGCCAGAAGTCCCTGAAATCCTGTGGTTTTAGTTGCTGCTCCATGAAATGCTATGTTCATTTTCATCCAATGAATTATAAAATATTTATTTTAAAGGCCCATTCAATTGTCATGGGCACCAATAAAGTGATAGACAGGTATTCCATTCTGGTGTAATAATACAACTTGCTTCTAGCTTCATTGACATAGTAGTGCAAATATTGTATACACAGGCTCACTCCATATATGTATCAGTTGCCTACAGGCCTTTCTCTTTGGTTTAAACAAAGTGCAGGAGAGCTCTTTTGGAGGGGGGGTCACAATGTTTTTCAGGTGGAGCACTGATTAAAATCTGACAGCAAACAGCCTTAAAAAGACTAATAAGTCTGAATGTTTTATAAAAATGTTAATACAGAAGTATTTTGGTCTTGGTATTTTCTTCATATTTATTTGATAGTTTGTCAAGTAGTTGGCATCATGGCCATATTACAGGAAAATCGATCTAACAGTTCAGAAGCCTATACTGAAAAAGGACTACTGTACTTTTAACGAGTGTTCTTTACATGCATAGATAAGAATAGTATAGGAGCAAATGATGACATGCGTATTATGGAAACAAGACACTATGAACCGGTTTCATCAAACAGTTATTGAAGTTGGTAGAGTTTTATGTGACATGTAGTTGTAAATTTTGATCCTCAGACTATATTCCTTTCATGGAGAACTTTCAAAGGCAAAAGAGCAGTTTTGTTGCATTTTACTCTGAAAGTGGATGAGAATTAGGCACCCACCTCCTATTTTGCCTTTTGAAAACTATCCTTTTCTTTCTTATGTACTTTAATTTCCTGAGTGGTAATGAAGTAAGGCATTCCATGGAAGTTGTCACAGATAAGTATTTTGCTGGTTCTGTTACAATTGATTATCTTTATGGTTGACCTTTTGTCTCTGATTTGACTTTTAGTTCATGAACCTGTCAGAATTGCTTATGACAGGCCTCGTGGTCGTCCTGTTACAAAGAAGAAGAAGGTGAGGGAACTTTTTGTTCACGACTCTGCACGCACAGTGTCTCTCTTTGGTGAAAACAGCTCTTTCACAGTTCCTGTAAGTGCATGCTATTGCTATTAAATTAGTTAGAACCTAAGGGCCTTAATCATGCAAGGGGTTGGATGTAATTTGGGAGGAGATAAGTGCTGTCAGCTGCCATGAGTGTCAGAGTTGAACACCTCATGGGATCTGATGCCATGTTGAAAAGTTGCTTGTTAATCTCTGTAGTAAAAATGGAATCAAGTCTGCATATTCCACTACATGGTGGAAACTCTTTAACATGTAGCAATGTACCATGTAGATCAGTGGTTCTCAAACTTTTTTTTTTTTTTGCGGACCACTTGAAAATTGCTGAGGGTCTCGGCAGACCACTTATACTTTTTTTGTTCTACAAATCAAAGCACACAACTCATATTTTAATATCAGTAGTCTTACCTTACAAGTACAGATATTCTTGATTGTGCTGCAACCTTTCTGCAGACCACCTGAATGGAGCTCGCAGACCACAGTTTGAGAACCTCTGTAAATCATTTTTATGAAATCTTGTATGGCTGAGGTGAAATTTCCTAATGGACCCAACAAATGCAGAGTTTTCACTATGAAAACGAGGGGCAATGATTTTTGACCAGCTAACATTTTCACAAATTTGGGAGGCTGATGTAAGCATGCTGAAATGGCATTACATTTTGTAATAGAGACCCAGTTACTGACAAAAAAAACCTCCTTATTTTGTATTTGTTGGGAAACGCAACTACCTTTATGGTACAGAAGCAGATGCTAACTACTGTTTTTGAGTGTCTGGTTAAACAAGTTTACAGATGCATTCATCCCATATTAAATTGGCCACCTAAGCATTTTATCAGACCTTTTCCCTGCAGATAAAGAAACACCACTTAAGAATGTACTTTAAAAATTATTTCTGTACTTTCAGGACCTTGGTAGATTCAGTTTGCAGGAGCTTCCTGCTGGAGAGTTCAAATTTGTGACTGTACCAGAAACTAGGATGTCTGCTGTTTTTCTCTCTGCAGAAACCAAAAGACTTAGAATTTTCACACAAGAAATTGACAAACAAGAATGTGGGTTTCCAGATGCTTCAGAAGATGGGCTGGCAAGAGGGACATGGTCTTGGTACACAAGGAAAAGGAATCAAAGAGCCTGTGAAAGTGTATGTAATGAGAACAAACTGCAGAAATATTAGATGCATGTGGAAAGTGCTGTGTTCCTAATAGCAACGTGGGTAACCTGGCCTGCCCTGAGGGGATCAGTTCAGTATGTCATTTCCATTCCTGATCTTCTTTCTGCTCCCTAAGCTGATCAAAGCTGAGAGTGGAGGCCGCATGCCTCTACTAATCAGATTGGGTGGGACCTGGTGTTCTAAAGGGCATCAGGAAACTATTTCTCCCAGTCTTCAGTAATGTCCATTCAGATGGAAAGGAAAGAGCCTCCCTTTAGAACACCAGGTCCCACCCAATCTGATTAGTAGAGGCATGCGGCCTCCACTCTCAGCTTTGATC